GGATGGGAAAGCTGCTCGTCCAAAGCACCTTGCTTGCACCAAACAGCTGTGGAAGGAGTTGAGGCTGGGATTTTCCTCCTGGAAAAGGTAGGAACAAAACTCAGTTAATGACTCAAGTCAACATCTGACATTCAGAGAATGATTAGGTTAAAAGTTCTGCTTCTAATTTTTCCGACAGTAATTAGAATTAGTCTGATTAATGAGTAGAAGCTTTCTAAAAAGTTAAATCAACAATAAAAATGAATAAGGTGAAGGAGCGTGGCTTAAATTGGGACAAAAAGTAATGTCTAAGACAAAAGCTGCCTGCACAGAGACTGCCCTCTTCATGCCACCCTCGTTGTTTCATTTACATCCAAAGGTGCTTCTCCTTCACTCACTGTGGTGAGTGTAGCCTTGTCCAGGAAGAATTTGTGTCACCAGGCGGTATCCAGTGATCACCGAGTGTTTTGACCTTGAACTACAACACCCTCAACGTTGGTGGGTCAGCAGTGGTGGCCAAATCACTGCTCATCAAACTTAGCTTCCAGCTAAGCTCTTCTCTCCTACTCCATAACCAGCAAGAGGCTCTCTCTGCAGCCTCCCCCAGCCTTTCTCTCCCTCCTCATCACCCCAATGGCTGTGAGCATTTTCCATACTGATATAGTATAAGGGAATCCTCTACAGCCGGCCTGGACTGGTCAGAACCATGCCTGCCAACCCGTCCCTCTGCAGTCATGCATGAGATCCTGATATTTGGCGCCTTTTCTCCCAAACGCTTGCTCACAACTCTCTTCCGATGTGTGACTAACTTTGATGAGGATGATCATATTTGCCTCTTCAGACCACAGCACTACATCTGGCCTCAGGGCTGTCAGGACAATTGGGAGGTAATAGCAGTGTCGTCCCCCCCATATTTTAGTTTTAACCCTGCTTCAACACACCTGATTCCAAACAGCAAGTGATTAACAAGCTCCTGCACAGGTGACTCAACCTCTGAATCTACTGTGTTGGGAGCAGAGAAACCACTAAAACGTGCTGGATACCAGCCACCCTGGCCCAGAATTAGATATCCCTGCTCTAAAGGTTGGCTGTAACGAGAGAATTGACATGACACGGTCTCCATCTGACTATTATTTATTTAACTACCAAATACATAGTGTTGTAAAATAACCAAAATATCTATAAAATGTCCAAAACAAGTTACCAGATTTACATTTTGTCACAGTCGAGGCAACAGGCTCTCGGTAAGTATCATAACCCCTTAAACTAAACAGCTGACAAGAACAGATGTGGCTTCAAAGACACCATTGTCTGAACACCACCTTGTTTACAAAGGCAGCGGTGCGATTACAGTAATGATGAGACTGCATTAACACTCATTAACACTGAAGCGCCGATAAAACTTGCTGATTTTCCGTCTCACTGCCAATCAAGATAGAAAAAGTTTGGGAAATGCGGCCGAGGCTGTCTGATGAATCAGAAAGTCTGCAAGGTGGTACTGTTCCAGTTGGGTGTTCCACAGGTGAAGTCTGTGCTGGAAAGATGTAATGGTGACCGACATATGCGTGATGATTTTGTATATTCACTCCATGTTTATCTTTGTTATCCATTTTCTTGTTCTTCTTTACACAGTTTAGTAAAAAACTGTTTTTTTTTACTTGGCATGTTTCAGCTAGTGTCTCTAGCCGTCGTCAGAGATCACCAGTGTTGGTGGCGTCCATGGGCAGCAGAGGATGGTGTCCCCCTCCAGCCGGGCCTGCCAGACTCCTCCTCTGTTTAATTCTGCACAGAGAAAGAGTCTGGGAACTCTCCTATTCAAATAGCCCCGCCCCCTGAGAATTCTAACAGAGCCAATCAGCGCTGAGTAGCACACACCATAACACCGAGTTTGTCATTACCATGGCGACTGAAGCTGAGTTCGCTGCGGCTCTTTCCTCTGGTCTAAATGACTTGGACGTGTCTTTAAAACCACAACAAGTAGAAGCGCTAAAAGCCTTTCTTCTACAGAAAGATGTCTGCGCTGTCGCCAGACGCCTTTTCTTTACTACAGCTAAAAAAACTACAGCGTTGCACGGTACAGTCGGCATTTCCGTCTTTTATCTGATTGGTTATTTTTGAGCTGCCTAGTCCCGCCCCTCAAGTGCTTCTCTGCCTGCGAGTTACCAGACTCATTCTCTGCAGAATTAAACAGAGGAGGGTCTGGCAGGCCAGGCTGGTCACCCTCTACTGCCTACGTACTCCTTGTTGATGACACCGTCCCAATCGTCTCCATCATGGTTTTGTGTCCACGTCTCCTTATTTCTATCGCTTCTTTGATCCATCCTTTGTATTTTAGTTGTTCTGAGGTTATGATCTGTGTACCGTCCCAGTCCATTATGTGGTTTTCTCTCGTGAAGTGGCCTGTTGCAGCTGATTTCTTTACTGTACTTTCTGCTTCTTGCTTGGCTGCTCTCTTGTGTCTTTGACTTGTTTTCCTCTAATGTTTGAGTGCTGAGCTGGTTTCCTCATGTATGTTTTATCGCAGAGTTTGCATGGTATTTCGTATACGACACCACATTTTTTATCTGCGTTATCGTGCGTGGGACAGTGTCATCAGCAAGGAGGATGCGGGCTGTAGAGGGCAACACCATCCTCTGCTGCCCAGGGATAAACACCAACACTGGTGATCTCTGATGAAGGTTAGAGACACTAGCTGAAACATGTCAGGTAAAAAACTATTTTTACTAAACCGTGTAAAAAAAAGAACAAGAAAATTATTTGTTAGCGTCTGCAGCCACAGGTTCAGCTCAGCAGCATAATCAGTAGGTCCAAACATTTTAAAATCACAGCAAGTCACGCTCAGTCTTCTCTTCTTGGGCATGTTGGGAGTATTCCCTGGTATTTCTTGTTATGCACCCATTGAGGTGGGATGTTGGAAGATCGGAGGCAGGGCTGGGTGATGCGGCCTCAAATCTCTATTGCAATATAATGTGAAGCACGTGCGATAACAATAAATATTGCGATATATTTTTTCCGCTGCTCCTCCGGATCGAAAGGAGCCAGTTGAGGTGGTTTGGGCATCTGGTCAGGATGCCTCCTGGACGCCTCCCTGGGGAGGTGTTTCGGGCATGTCCTGCCGGCAGAAGGCCCCCGGGTCGACCCAGGACACGTTGGAGAGGTTACATCTCCAATCTGGTCTGGGAACGCCTTGGGGTCCTGCCGGAGGAGCTGGTGGACAAGGCCGGGGAGAGGACGGCCTGGAGCTCCCTAATTGGGATGCTGCCCCCGCGACCCGGACCCGGATAAGCGGAGGAAGACGAAGACGAAGACGAAGATATATTTTTTCCTCCATTTATACACAGATGTCAAAATGACGTGCTTTTAAAAATCCTCATATGGCAAATATATCGCAGCAGAATAAAGACGTCCAAACAGTGTAGAATGCTCCTCCTCCGCCCTCTCCATGCTTGCAGTCACTGCCATTCTGTTGTCCCAATGTCGGCGCGGGTGCACATCTTGCCGTGTTACCGCGATAGAGCCAATAACTCTTATTACCCACTGTAACGTCCAAAAGGGTCCATTTTCACCTATATACTGACCAACATAGTGACCTTTCATCTACAGCATAACTCCACTTCCTATTTGGCCTTCCAGAACCAGAAGGTTCTGTTCAGCGCGTGTTGACATTCCATGAAGACAAAACATTCAAACAAACATTCTCTCCCAATTAGGGATGGGTACCTTTGACATTTGAATCGATCCGGTACTAATTCCCGGTACCCAGGAATCGATACCGGTACTTAACGGTACCAATTTTCGATACTTTTGAGTGTTTATTATTTTAATTCTCTTTTATAATTAAATATATATTTTTCTCAATATATAACAATATTTGATATATATCACGATAAATAACATTCAACTGTTTGTATTTTAACATCGTCCTTGTAGTTTTATAAGCTGATAATTAAACTGAAGCAAACATCTTTACTGTGAACTAAATTTACTGTGTATCTTCATTCCTTTTGCCGTCCTTTTTCTTTTGATTTTTCCTACTGGGAAGTTAGAATTTCCGAGGAGAAAGCGAACGCACCATTAGATGATAACAACGGTGGCAATGGAAGCTAACATATCAAGCTAACGTTATCTTTAACAGTTTATTTAGCTGCTGGAGCAGATTAAAACGATGATGCCTCACACTTAGATCGTTGTTGCTGGTTTCATCTTCACCCAATCACCCGTCGCATTTAGTAAAGTGAAGCCAAACTTTAGAGCGCGTTCATGTTCTTCTAGTCGGAATTTCGGAGTTCCGAGGAGAAAGCGAACGCACCATTAGTGAAACGGAAGCTAACATATCAAGCTAACGTTATCTTAAACATTTTATTTACCTACCGGAGCAGATTAAGATGAGGATGTCTCACTTAGACCGTTGTCGCTGGTTTCATCATCACCCAGTTACCCATCACATTTAGTGAAGTGGACCCAAGCTTTAGCGTGCGTTCTTTCTACCATGCTGCTCTGTTTACAACTGGCTCGCAGCGACCAACGACATAACGCTCTTGCACATGCGCAGCTGTCTAGGCAAGTTCTCGTTATGATGGACGGGTACCGAAACGAGGCACCGTTTCAAATGACGTGAATCGGTGCTCAGTCGGTACCATGGAATTCGGTCGGTACCCATCCCTACTCCCAAGGTCCTAAACTCTCTGCATGAACGCCAGACGTCAACATTCTTCACTCTGAATAAGTGAAGACTCCATGATTTTACAACTCATAAGCTTAAATAATCATATGTGATGAATGAACAAGATGTTTAAATGAAATGTTTGAATAATCTGTGCTTAAGTCAATGAATATTGTCTTACAATGATCTCGCAAATCACTATGTGTTTGATTTTACAAGTTCATCATCACCTACACTCACATTGCAATAAGATACTCATTAAGGTCAAGGTTCACCTCACGCGTGTTTTAAGCTATTCTTATTCACAGAATTAAGAAGCTTGTATCTGAAGGAAGGTGTGGCTTTCTGAGGGATGTTTCGGTAAGGCCTTCCAGACATGGCACATTCTGATTTGCCAGAATGGCCTGAAATTACGGCAAAGTACTTTAATAAAACG